GTAAAAAAAAAAAAAAAAAAAGAGGTTAGAGTGGGAGAGCGCCAAAGCATAAGAGACTGTTGAGAACTGAGAGCAAACTGAGGGTTGATGGGGGGTGGGAGGGAGGAGAGGGTGGGTGATGGGTATTGAGGAGGGCACCTCTTGGGATGAGCACTGGGTGTTGTATGGAAACCAATTTGACAATAAATTTCATATATAAATAAAAAAAAAAAGATATTTAAAAAAAAAAAATACTGAGAGTAACCATAGGAAAAGCTATAGAAAGAAAATCATTTTTAAAGTTATAGCTAAATTAGGAATCTATCATATGTTCAAGTAACCACAAGGCAATAAAGGGAAATGAAAAAGAGAACAAAGAGAAAGCAAAATATAACAGATTTAAGAAATCAATAATTATATTAAATGTAAATGGTCTAGAGGCGGCTGGGTGGCTCAGTCGGTTAAGCGTCAGACTTTGGCTCAGGTCATGAACTCACAGTTAGTGAGTTCAAGTCCTGCATTAGGCTCTGCATGACAACAGAGCCTGCTCAGATCCTCTGTCTCCCTCTCTCTCTCTGCCCCTCCCCTGTGCTTGTGCTCTCTCTCAAAAATAAACTTTAAAAAAATGTTTTAATGTAAATGGTCTAAATATACCAATAAGAAGAGATTAACAGAGTGTCTTAAAAAAACATGGCCCAACTAACTCTATGGTGTCTACAAGAAACTCCTCAAATATAACTATATAGGCAAATTTAAAGTAAAAGAAAAGATATCATGCAAACATTAACAAAAACAAAGCAACGGTGGCAATAGTACTGTCAGATAAAGTAGACTTCAGAGCAAAGAAAATTACCAGGGGCAGAAAGTGACAGTGCATAATATAAAGGGGTCACTCCACCAAGAATACTTAGCAATCCTAAAGGTGCAGGCACCAAATAACAGAGCTACAAAACCTGCACATCAAAAGCTGACAGAACTGAATGGAGAAACACATAAAACCACAATTTTAGCTTCCTCACTCTCAACAATTGATAGAGCAACATCACCATCAACCAACTGAATCTAATGAACATCCAAAGAACACATTCCATTCAACAACAACAGAATACAAATTGTTTTTCAAGTACCCATGGAATGCATATCATAGCTAAAGAGAGGGAGAAAATTTTGGAAGCCATGTATCTGACAAACGATTCATATCTATAATATAAAGAACTCCCAGAGCGTCTGGGTGGTTCAGTCAGCTAACCATCTGACTCTTGATTTTGTCTCAGGTCATGATCTCATGGTTCATGAGATCGAGCCCCAAATTAGGCTCTGGACTGACAGCGCAGAGCCTGCTTGGGATTCTCACTCCCCCCTCTCTCCGTCTGCCTCTCCTCTGCTTGTGCTCCCTCTCTCAAAATAAATAAGTAAACATTAAAAACCATATATACAGGGCACCTGGGTGGCTGAGTTGAGCATCTGACTTCAGGTCATGATCTTGTGATTTCTGAGCCCTGCGTTGGGCTCTGTGCTGACAGCTCAGAGCCTGGAGCCTGCTTTGGATTTTGTGTCCCCCCGCCCCCCCCGCCCCTCCCCCACTTACTGTCTCTCCCTCTCTCAAAAATAAATGTTAAAAAAAAAATTTTTTATACACACACACACACACCACACACACCTATACATAAAGAACTCTCAAAATTCAAGAGTAAAAAATAGCACAATTAGAAAATGAGAAGACATGAAAAGACATTTCACCAAAGAGGAAATACAGATAGCAAATAAATACATGAAGACACAGTCAATATCAGCCCTTAGGAAAATGCAAATTAAAAGCCACACTGAGGTATTGCTGCAAACCTATACAAATGGCTAAAATAAAGAATAGTGACACCACCAAATTCTGTCCAAGACTACAGAAAGTGGATCAGTCATATGCTATTGATAGGCATCTAAAATGGTACAGCCTCTAGGGAAAACATTTGAGTTTCTTAAAAAACGAAATGTACAACTACCATGCAATCCAGCAACTGTGCTCCTGGGTAATTATTCCTAGAGAAATGAAAATTTATCTTCACACTGAAACTGGTACAGGAATGCTTATGGTAGCTTTATTCACAATAAACAACCCAGCTATCAATAGTTAAACTGTGGTATACGCATACCATGGAATACTCTTCAGCAACTCTACAAAATGACCTGGACTAATTTCCAAAGAATTATGCTGAGAAAAGAAAATCTCAAAAGGTTACATACTACATGATTCCATTTATATAATGATCTTGAAATGACAAAATTACAGGAATGGAGAAAAGTCAACAGTTGCCAGGAATTGAGGAGGTAGGGGCCAAGGGAAAGTGGGTTTGGCCACAAGGGGGCAAGTATGCAGAAACTTTGGCTGATGAAAATGTACTGCATCTAGACTATATTAATGTCAATTTCCAGGTTATGATACTGTATTATCGTTTTGAAAGATGTTACCACAGGGGAAACTTGGTAAAAGGTATTTGGATCTCTTCGTATTACTTCATTTAACTGCATGTGATTCTACAATTATCTCAAAATAAAGCTTAATGTTTAAAAATAAAAGCATTTAATACACATACAGTAGTAATTTGTAGAAGAATTTAATTTTAAACTTGATATACAATATCACACTAGAAATATCTCGTTACCAGGAAAGATGTTTTTCATAATGAAAAAAAAAAAATCCAACACACAGTTCAGCTGTACCTTATCTGAACCTAAAATAATACAACTTATTAAATACAAAGTCTCCTAAGATTGTGATTTTAGCAGTTAAAGGCAGGCACACCAGCAGCATCTAAAAGATACAACTTAGTTGTCACAGTAGGCATAAATGAGCCAATACTCTACAACATGAATTCCATCTTAAAATAGAGATAATTCCATGACTTACAAGGAAAACAATAAAATACACTAAAAACACTAGGCAAGATTTTATGTAAAGTACTTTGAGGTGATAAAAGAACTTTAAGCTTAAGCTACATATTACAGGGAAAAAATATTAGGGCTTATTCTACCATAAAGGGCCCATACACCATAACTAGAGTTCTTTTTCTTACACTAAAATATACCCAAAACTTTTGTGAATAGAGAAAATAGAAGTTCATCCATTTCTACTAAGAGATTAACGATAAAGTAATTGTTGAACAGATTAAAGATTAAAATATCAAAATGAGAAAATCAGCAATAAGAACCTACTGTCTTTGGCTGCTGATTCACTTTTTTATCTTCTAGATCCTTGAATTTCGATCGAAAAGAGACCATTTTCTCCTGAAGTTCTGGTGTACATAGTTCGTACACGTCCAACATAAGAGGAAATTTAACATCCTATATACAAACCCAGAAAAAAAATGTGTAAACACACTTATAAAGGTAGTTATTAAAAATATCTATAACACTTTTATAGTAGTACTTTCATAATCAAAAGAAGTTGAAAATAAAATTTATAAAAATCACTTGCAAACCTATGCAGCTGAAAACATCACAGTGCTTATTTTCAATCTGGTCCTAATTTTCCTTTTTAAATAGGCTCCATGCCTAACTTGGGGCTTGAATGCAGGATGCTAAAATCAAGAGTCACATGCTCTACCAACTAAGCCAGCCAGGCACCTGGGTCCTAACTTTTTAAGGTAAAAAAAAAATTTTTACTTTTTTCCCCCCAATATTCTAACCCATAACATTAACCACAGAGGAGTTACCAAAATTTACATGACAAAAGAAGCATTTCAAAAACATTAGATCAGGGGCACCTGGACGGCTCAGTCAGTTAAGCGTCCAACTTCAAATCAGGTTATAATCTCACGATTTGTGGATTTGAGCCCTACATCGGGTTCTACGCTGACAGCTCAGAGCCTGGAGCCCGCTTTGATGGTGTTTCTCCCTCTCTCTCTCTCTGCCCCTCCCCTGCTTGTGCGTGCTCTTGGCTCTCTCAAAATAAACTTAAAAAAAAAAAAAAAAAAAATTAGATCAGTTGCTGTGAAAATAATTGACACTTATAGTGGACAATGGAAATCAATTTACAAATGGGGTCACTTAATGACTCTTTGTAACTTGAAATATTCCTTTACACAGAAATAAGTGGTACAGTTTAATAACTAAATATTAATACATATTTATAGTTAACACTAGTAAATACTTCCAACTACATTTGACCCTATCATGTAACACTAAATATATCTAAAATTGTATTAAGAATTTCAGCCGTCTCCCAAGGATCAAGGACTGTGGATATGTAGCAGAGCTACAGTTCCATAAAACCGTTCTTAAGGCTGGCTCTTACTGAAGAGATTATAATTACTGCACTAGAGAGTGTAGTGTGTTATAATACCGCTGGGTCAGTATCTATGGAGCTGAGGATCTGCTCTAGAGCAGTGTTTCTGGGAGAGTGAAGGGCAACCATCAGAATTAACTGGGAATCTTTCAAAAAATTGTAAGACCTCAGGGACTACTTAATCAAATGCTGTGGGTGCTGGTGGTAAAAATCAGGCATGTGTATGAATGATTTAAAAGAAAAAGGATAGGGGCGCTTGGGTGGCTCAGTCGGTTGAGTGTCCAACTTCGGCTCAGGTCATGATCTCGAGGTTCACGGGTTCAAGCCCCGTGTCGGGCTCTGTGCTGACAACTCGGAGCCTGGAGCCTGCTTCAATTCTGTGTCTCCCTCTCTTTCTGCCCCTCCCACACTCACGCTGTCTCTCTCTCCCTCAAAAATATAAATAAACACACAAAAAAATTTAAGAAAAAGGACAATAGATAATTCCAATACACAGTCTTGGTTAATTAAAAACCACTTATCTAATGTTAATAACTTCCCTTACAGTATTTTGAAGTTTATCCCTAAAGGAATAAAGAAACCTTTAAGTCAGGGATTTCTATCAAAGAATTACAATATTTTATTATACTGAAGCTCATTACTAACCTTAAGAACTTTAGCATTCACAGATTCCTTCTCTTTATAAAAAAATCGAACCATCTGAATAGTCAAGTAAGCAGGTAGTCGGCTGATCTTAGACTGAGGAGAAAAAATAAAGAAATCCTATCACATGCAAATAACACAAAAGTTTTTAATTCCTTGGTTTGGTACAAAGACTGGGTAACATTAATTAACTGGAAACCTTTCATCAAAATGGATTCAATTTCAAAAGGAATGCACAACTTACAGATTTGATGTATAAAGCATTTCTTTGCAATGTCGGAGACTGTTTGGTGATTTCTTCCTGAAGTCGCTATAAAAAAAAAAAAAAAAAGGGAACATAACAGAAGACCAAACATTTTTAGTTCTAGAATTTTTTTTCTGCAATATAGAATCACACTTTTTTTTTAAAATAAGTTCTATGCCCAAAGTGGGAATTGAACTCGTGACCTTGGGGATCCAGAATCACATGCCAGGGGTGACTGGGTGGTTCAGTCGGTTAAGCGTAAGACTTCGGCTCAGGTCATGATCTCGCAGTTTGTGAGTTCAAGCCCCACGTCGGGCTCTGGGCTGATAGCTCAGAGCCTGGAGCCTGTTTCAGATTCTGTGTCTCCCTCTCTCTCTGCCCCTCCCCTGCTCACACTCTGTCTCTCAATAATAAACAAACGTTAAAAAAAAAAAAATTTTTTTTTTTAAGGGGCGCCTGGGTGGTGCAGTCGGTTAAGCGTCCGACTTCAGCCAGGTCACGATCTCGCGGTCCGTGAGTTCGAGATCCGCGTCAGGCTCTGGGCTGATGGCTCAGAGCCTGGAGCCTGTTTCCGATGCTGTGTCTCCCTCTCTCTCTGACCCTCCCCCGTTCATGCTCTCTCTCTGTCCCAAAAATAAATAAACGTTGAAAAAAAAAATTAAAAAAAAAAATTTTTTTTTTAATTTTTTTTTTAAACATTTATTTTTCTTTTATTTTTGAGACAGAGACACAGCATGAACAGGGGAGGGCCAGAGAGAGAGAGGGAGACACAGAATCCGAAGCAGGCTCTCTGAGCTGTCAGGAGAGAGCCCGACGTGGGGCTAGAACTCACAGAGCGGGAGATCATGACCTGAGCCGAAGTCAGACGCCCAACCGACTGAGCCACCCAGGTGCCCCTAAAAAAAAAAAAAAAAATCACATGCCAGCCAGGCACCCCTGAAATCTACTTTTAATTCTGTTAGACAACATATGAATATGGATTTATACCACCGAAAAATTATCTAAATGAAGACAATGTACGAAGGCCTTTAGATTTGGTTCAGTTCTGAAAAGGCATCAAATAATTTATACTAGTGTGAACTCCTCAGAATGTAAATAACGTTTGAAGTTTTTAAATTGTGACCCAAATGTTGCTCATATTCTGAGTTTACACTGTATTTTATGTAATATAAAAAAGGCTTTTATGGCTTCTGTCTACATACAATCAGAATACTCCTATTAAAGGACAATTAAGAAAATGTAGAGAATCCTTGTTCTTTATGCTTTATGTATAAAAACCTTCCAGAACCAATTATTATTAAATATGAGAAAAGTCATCACAGAGAAAACCTCTTACTCTAACATATGTGGAAAGCCACTTTACATATCTTAACTATCATGTCTGCTTTTCCATTTCTTACAGCCTATGTGATGCTCAGCAAGGCAGCTACCCCTCTGCACATCATATGGAAATGATAACAACCACCACATATATATCATAGTGCTGTTAGAATTACATGAGTCAGAATGTGTAGAAAACATGCACAACCATTTGGCATATATTCTATGTTCAATAAACATTAGTTACTATTATTGTTCAGATCAAAAAAACACTAATGTGCTCTGCTTCATAAGAACATTTAATATATAAGACATTTAAGTTAAAACAATTTACTGTTAATGTTTACTATAAAATTACTTATGTAAAATATTTTCTTAATTTTTAAACATTACTAATCATATTACAAAAGGAATCACCATGTAGCTTTTTAACACTTAATCAAGTTTGTTCATCAGCAAAAATGGTAAAGAAATATGGAGCCAAATTACTCTAGAGTAATCAGAACAAACGATAATAAAGCATCTAAAAAACAGGCAACATGGGGCGCCTGAGTGGCTCAGTTGGTTAAGCGTCTGACTCTTAATTTCAGCTCAGATCATGATCTCATGGTTCGTGGGTTTGAGCCCTATGTCAGGCTCTGTGCTGGTAGTGCGAAGCTTGCTTGGAATTCTGTCTCCCTCCCTCTGCCTCTCTCTCTCTCAATAAATAAATACACATTTTTTAGAAATTATTATAAAAATGGGCAAGACAATACAGTATCTGAAAAATACATGCTTTTCAAGAAAGCATATCTGGCATGATGTTATTCATCAGGTAAGCTATATGAATTATCAATCTACTATCATCTAGAAGAGCCAAGCACATTTAGCTTTTCCAGAATTTTATAAAATTATGAAGAAAATATCGTCCTGGAGAGTTCCTGCCAAAACATTCCATTCCCTTCTATACTCTCCAATTACATTTATACTTCATTTGATGCCTTGAAACTTGCACATCATCATTTATTATAGGACTCTTAGGAGTTAGCTATTATTTGTAAGCTTTTAAAATAAACTTCTCTTAAAAGCCATTAGGCCTCATTACAACTCCCCTTCAGTATCACAGAGCAGAGAATATTAGTATTTGCCGCTTATGTCCACATTTACCAACCCCTTCCCTAGCCAATCTTATCCCAAACTATAGATGGGAACTCCCTGATGACAAAGGATCTTGTTTATCAATGCAATCCCTGCCTCAATTCATTGCCTATCTTCAAGACATGTACATATTTCCCAAACCAAATCAAAGTACTAAATTAGCAAGCAAAACTGTTATATTTTATCAATCTTCTCATTAAAGCATACATTCTATAATATGGCAATGGTCAAAGAGTACTAACTGGATAATGACAGTATCAAGTTCTAGACCCGGTTCTGCCACAAACCAATTAAGTCACTTACATTCTGGGGCCTCAACTGTAATACTGGTGCAGTGGCAGAGGACCCACATGGCCTGATTTGAACAGTAAAATCCTAGTTTATACTCATCATTACTAATACACCCTCATCATAATACCCTCAGAGGCCTCCTACAAGCCTCTGGTCACAACATTTTTGTCAACCTATCACGCACATAATACACAACCTTGTGGTTATGTGTGTTTCCATTAAATGATATGTTGACACATTATTGTCTTCACAGCCAACTACACTCTAATTCATCCCTAAACAAAGCTTATCTAACAAACATTATTTTCTCCTTAAGGCTTATCTAACAAACATTCACACACAGTCTTCTTGGCCTCAGAACACTAGACAGCACTTCAGCACTTTGGCTCAAGGCCACTCTAAACAGCACATCACCAACAAAAAGCACAAAATGCAAAAAAAAAAAAAAAAAAAAAAAAAATTTGTGGTACTAAAATTACTGCAAAAGGACACTTGCTTATTTCATGAGTTGAAACTAGAAGACAGAACATCACCTTTTTGGACCTCTGGTGAGACTGTGTCCATTAACTCAAAATTTTTGCCACTATGGAACATGTCTACAAATGACTATGAAAGCACCACAAGTATTGATATTAGAGGTATAAATAAATTTTAGTTAAGTAGGTGTATCTGCAAATAGAGAATCCATTTACAATTAAGATCAACTGTAACTGAACTTACCAATTTAAGTCCTGTAAAAAGATACTTGACTTCTTGATTGATAAAACAGCTAAGCTGAAGCTGATTTTCCTTCCCTTTAGTGACTTCTTCTTCTTCAGATTCTGTACATTTCATGCTTGAGAAATAAGATAAGGAATATACCAATAGGCATTCACTTTGTTACATAATCCTGAATATAATAAATTATCCTAATGCTATTAAAATTAATAGCATCACTACTTGCAAATGACAAATCCGATAAAGGGTTAGTATCCAAAACATATGAAGAACTTATACAACACCAAAAAAATAATAATAATTCAATTAAAAATGGGCAGAAGACATAGACATTTCTCCAAAGCAGATATACAGACAGCCAACACATGAAAAGATGTTCAGCATCACTAATCATCAGGAGAATGCAAATCAAACCCACAATATCACCTCACATCTGTCAGAATGGCTAAAATGACAAGTGCTGGCAAGAATGTGAAGAAAAAGGAACTCTCATGAACTGCTGGTGGAAATGCAAACAGGTGCAGCCACTGTGGAACACAGTACAGAACAACCGTATGATCCAGGAATTCCACTACTAGGTATTTATCCACAGAATATGGAAACGCTAATTTGAAAAGACATATAGGCACCCCCATGTTTATTGCATTATTTACAATAGCCAAATTATGGAAACAGCCCAAGTGTCCGTTGATGGATGAATGGATAAAGATGTGTTATATATACACAATGGAATATTATTCAGCCACAAAAAAAAAAAAAGACTGATATCTTGCAATCTGCAACAACGTGAATGGAGCTAGAGGGTATTACGTTAAGTGAAATAAGTCAGTCAGAAAAAGACACATACTGTATGATTTCACTCGTGGAATTTAAGAAACAAAATCAAATGAACAAAGACAAACCAAGAAACAGACTCTTCTTAGCTATAGAGAACAAACTGATGGTTACTAGAGGGGAGGTGGGTGAAATAGGAAAATGAGCACTGAGTAATGTGTAGAAATGCTGAATCACTTTATTATACACTTAAAACTAATATAACATTGTATGTTATAACTATACTGGAATTTAAAAAAAAATAGCATCATACACTGGTATTTAAAACATTTTGGTTTCCAAGTAGATTCATTTCAACATACTTAAAAGTGCTCCATTCACTTACCAACAATATGAGTAATGAGTGTATAAAAGGATAAACTCTCAACAAATATACATTGGTACTCATAGTATTGAATGGTTTTAACACTAAGGTACATAAACAGAAATCATTAAGTTTCTACCCATGACCTAGAAAATAGGCCTTCCTTAAATTCATGAATTCATGTTTTATTGGCTCAATCTCATGTATACAATTTGGCTGATACATTGTTTCATACAATTAAAAAATTCATTCCCTATGAAGTAAAAAAAAAAAAAAAATTCTCTATGAAGTGAATTAATGACGTTGACTCCGCTAAAGATATACTTAGGAAAAAATAATGAATATCCTTATTAAAGTATATACTTACCTAAACATTAGGATTACTCTAATGGGGATATTTTCCCAAATTCCTAAGTTTCACCATATTTTTCAGGCATAAAGCCTCTGAAGAATTTTTTTTCATACCCCACCCACCACTCCAAGCAGTCAACAATGCTACTGATACCCATCTACTTCTAGTAAGTTATGAGTACAGCCTCTACAAATCTTGGCTCATAAGGATACGTAGTTTCAAACTCAACTCCAAAGAACTGATCAATTAAGCTTTTCTTTTTAGAAGGTGTCACTGCTGATGCAGATGAAGAATCTGTCTGCAAAAATTAAAACAAAAATTCCAAATTTACTTTATATAGATACTAGTGTGTATTTCTTCCCACATAACCCAATTTAGTAAATACATATTTAAGCTTTTTAAAATGTAAGCCCCTTCTGTAACATCCTTCTATTCAAAAAACATCACCAAAAAACTACAGATGCTCAATAATATCTTCTATGTTTAATAAATAATACACTGAATTCAAGTGTCAAATGCAAGCTTTCAAATTCCAACTACAGACTGAGCATGTTAAAGCATTCAAGTACATGTGTATCTATTAGGATGAATTTATTTCAAGCCTTTGGGATTGGTGAGTAGGGGGAAATCAAGGTATAATGGAAGTCTATAAGCACAAATAGATTTCAGTCACCTCTTTAACAGAATCGTCTTCTATAGCTTCCAATTTCTGTTGCAATACTCGCATCATTTGTATCCAACATTCATTAGCATCCTGTAATTTAAAAATGACACAGTAAATAATCCTGGCTGTGACAGTGTTTTTCCTATAAGAGTCTTCCAAAAGAAGTACTGTTTCCTTAGGGAAGGGGAATAAAGCGATTTTTTTTTTATTTAAAAATATTAAGTCAAATGAGATATTATATGATCTTCAAAGCAAAGAATTCCAGAACATTCATTCATTCAAGAGAGGTTCACTGATCTCTTCCTTATGCTAAACACTGTTTTAGACACTAAGAATAAACACAGCCGTGACCAAAACAGAAGAAGTTCTCAAGGGGGATATAAATAAAATATAACATAAATTCACCTAAAGAGAAGTTATGAAGAAGAAAAAAAAATATGGGAGCAGAAAGTGATGAGGTGAAAGGAAGTGTGCTATTTCAATAGGATAGTCAAGAAAGCTTCTCTGATGCCTTGACATGAGCCGGAAGACCCAAACGATATGAGGAAGCAAGCCATGCACTTATCTGTAAGCGAAAGAAAGAAGAGCAAAGACCCTGCAGAAAGAGGGTATGTGGAGGGTTTAAAAAATAGCAAGGAAGCCAGTGAGTATAGAGGAGAGCCAAAGTAAGCAAGGGTGAGAGTGGTACATGATGAGCTCAGGGAGGTAGCCAGGAATAAGATTATTCAGCACTGGGATAGAAAATCACTAAGAGGCAATCAACAAGGGACCAAGGATTATTCCTTAATAACAGTTTAAGGACTCTAAAAGGTTGTGTGGAGAAACCCGCAAAAAGACAAAAGCAGAAGTGAGATGATCAATTACCAGACCACTCCAGGCAAAAGATAATCATAGTATGAACCACAGAGGACTGATAACTGGAGTGTATTTGGAAATGCAAATACATATGGTAAGTGTATAACACCTAAGTTTTACATTTACACAATGAAAACCCCAGAACCTTGCCCTGTTTACCTGTTGAAGATACTGTCCTTGTTCACCCTTCTCCGCAAACTGTGGGAAAGCCATGTGTAAAAACTGCAGTAGGATAATAGGTGGAATACTAGAAGACGTTTTATCCATGGAATCAAACAAATCTCTAAGGGCTTAAAAAGCAAAGCAAACACTGCTTTAGTAAAACAGTGACACATTTAATACATGTTACTATAAATTAATTCTAGATTAATACAAACACAAAACTGCTGAGTACTTTTAAGTATATCTACTCTTTTTGTAGTTTTCAGATTCCCAATAAGAAAAAGATTTGTTTTTAAATCTTAAAGAATTGACCCAAAGACTTTATAATGCACTAACTATAAACAACTTCTGAGCCCTGCCCCTCTGTCTCTCTCTCCTTGCCAGCCTTTGTCTTCCAAAACAAAGCACGGTATATTCATTCAACACTGAGAACACATAACCTTTGTCTAGGGATCAAACAGGCTGATGTTACTGTTTTGGTACTATGCCACTGTCAGGCCACCACTCCCAACCGACCTCCCCTTAAGCCCATACTTAGTTCCCAACTACTCAACTCCTAAATATTAAATAAAATATGTTTAACATACATCCTAACTCTACTGAATAGTTAAGAACCAAAACTAATTTGCCTTCTTCAAAATCTTTCCTCTGCTATCCTCTTTCACTTTCATAAAATCTCATGGTCATGGCAGACTGAGCCCTGCTCTGGGAGTTCAGAATACTCCTGCTCTGCCGACTCCCTGGCTATCATACCTTGCCCTTCTTACTTCATGTACAGCAAAATGCTAGTCTAGCCTATCTTGACTCGTTTCATTAACGAACATGTGAAATGTTATCTACCATTAGTATATACAAACCGAAGCCCAGAAAATACTAAGCACAAAGCCAGTGTGCAATAAAATGTTCCCGAATAAAACAACGTGGTGTTTAAAAATGTTTTTCCAAGAGACAGCAAAAATTAATTACTACCAAGCTAATGATTTTTAAAAGAAAAAATCTAAATTATAGCACATTTTAATAAAGTACACATTACTCAAAATAAACAATGGTTTAAGATTTAATATATACCATAAACAGAGCATCTCAAAGTATTTCACTAGTTTGAAAGAAAAAGATCAAAAATGCACTAGACATTAAAAGAGACTAGTAAAACATGAAAAACTGAATACAATGTATGATCCCAAACTGGCTCCCAAAGCAAAGAACTTTATAATGGCAATACTGGATCAACTGCCGAAATTTAAGTAATCTGTATTTTAGAGTACTTCATCCATGTTAAACCCCTAGATTTTGAAAAATGGTAATTGTCTTGTGATTATGAATGTCCTTATTCTTGGGAAATACATACTGAAGTATTCAGGAATAAACTGTGATGTCTATAACTTACTCTTGAAGGTTCAAAAAAAAAAAAAACACAACAAAACAAAACAAAACATGGTTACAGAGAATGATGAGCCAGGTATCTAGGTAGGACAAAAAGTTAATAATTGGTGAATTCTTGTAACTGTTCTGTAAATTTAAATTTAGCACAAAACAGGGGTGCCTGGGTGGCTCAGTCAGTTAAGCATCTGACTCTTGGTTTCAGCTCAGGTCATAATCTCACATTTCATGGGTTCGAGCCACATATCGGGCTCTGTGCTGACAGTGAGGAGCCTGCTTGGGCTTCTCACTCCCTCCTCTCTCTCTGGCCCTCCCCCGCTCACACACTCTCTTTCTCAAAATAAATAAATAAACATTTAAAAAAATTAGCACAGGGGCACCTGGTGGCTCAGGTGGTTAAGCAGCCAATATTGGCTCAGGTCATGATCTCGTGGCTCTGAGTCTGAGCCCTGTGTCAGGCTCTGCGCTAACATGTTATAGCCTGGAGCCTGCTTCAGAATCTTTGTCTCCCTCTCTCTCTGCCCCTCCCCTGCACACACTCGGTCTCTTTTAAAAATAAACATTTAAAAAAATTAGCACAAAATAAAATTTAAAAATGAAAAACAGTATCTTTCATCTCCTCAATACTACAAGCCTCTTAGAGGACACTGGAGAAGTTGCTGAAATTCCAAGTTACTCTTAGATACAAAAGCAAACAAGTAAACTAGATATAAATGATCAGATTTTTCTCATTAAAAACTTCCAATAAATCTTTCAGGAAAAAAATGGTCAAAGGAAAAACCTCTAACTACAAATGACACAAAGAAACATACTGTTTTTATAGTATTACAAATTAACAGCTGACCACAATGAGATACCACTTCACACCCCTAGGCTAGCTATAATCAAAAACAGACAATACCAAGTATTATCAACAATACAGAAAAATGGGAACCCTTATTCATGCTGGGAGAAATATAAAATGATGCAGCTGCTTTGGAAAACAGTCTGGCATTCCTCAAAAGGTTAAAGTATAGTTACCAAGGTTAAAGTATAGTTACCATACGACCCAGCAATTCCACTCACAGATATATACCCAAGAGAAATAAAAACATGTCCACAGAAATCCTTGAACAAGTTTTTAGCAATACTTACAATAGCAATACTACAATAGTCAAAAGTGGAAACCACCCAAATGTCTATCATTGATAAAAGGACAAAGGAAATACAATATATGCCTACAACAGCATCTTTTTCAGCAATAAGGAATCAAGCACTCGTACATACTACAATCTGGATGAACCTTGAAAATAGTGAAAGAAGCCACTCTAAAAAGACCACATACTGTAAATTCCATTTTTGTCAAAAGCCCAGAATAGGCAAATTTATGGAGACTGACAGTAGGTGAGTGGCTGTACAGGGCTGGGGGTGGAGACCAGAAAACAGGGTGACTGCGAAAGGTTACAGAGTTTCTTTTTCAAGGCGATGAAATGTTCTAAAATGGGCCTGTGGTGATGGCTGCACAACCCTGAGTATACTAAAAGACAATGAATTGTGCACTTTAAGTGCATAAATTGTATGGAATGGGAATTGTATCTAGTTAAAGCTGTTACAAACAAAAAGGCACAGCCGTAAGAATACCTTATCAATCTAACCCAATGACTTAAGAAAGTATTCACTTGTAAAACTTGTAAAAGTATTCACTTGTAAAGTATCCCAAAATGAATGGAGACAGAATACATGGTCTCATGTAGTGAAGAAATGTTATTCCCATGCTTTAAGAATTTGTTTCTCCTCATATTTCATATACCATTTCCTTACACTAACACTAGACTCTCTTGTAATGACTGCATCAACTATAATAAAACCTACCTCTTGCTATCCTCAGAGATAGGTCTTACTAATAGAACCTAAAGCCAAAATTAAATTTAATCCAAAAAACGGAAAGACTCTTAGTGAGAAAAGACAGACATCAAAGGTTTATAATTTGGATAACAAAATAAAATGTAAGTATAAGTACTCCGATTTTAATGAGACGAGGTTTTACAAAACAATTTTTTAAATTGAAAGCTACTAAATAAACTGAGTGAAGAATAACTTATTGAATACTACACTGCCCTCTCAAAAAAGGAGTTTTAAGATACTGACCTGCAGTAATGTACTGTGCTGAAGCCATTTCCCCTGAAGCTCTCAAGGCACCTGCATACCTAGGAACATTAGGCAGAATTAAATAGGATTCGATTCATTCTGAAACTCAAATGAGAAGAAACTAGTTAAAAGAGCTTATGACACCTTCAACTGCAAGTTTATCAGAGTTGTTCCCACCTTTATATTTCCTCCTCTTTTGGTCTTGTTACATTAACAATTATATGTACAAAAAGGAACACTAAGAAAAAAGGGAATTTAGGGGTGCCTGGGTGGCTCAGTCGGTTGAGCCTCTGACTCTTGGTTTTGGCTCAAGTCATGATCTCACGGTTCATGATATCGAGCCCTCCACCAGGCTCTGCGCTGACAGCATAGAGCCTGCTTGGGATTCTCTCTCTCCCCCTCTCCCTGCCCCTCCCCTATGCACTGCTCCCAAAATAAACGTTTCAAAAAGGGAAAAAAAGGGGTGCCCGTGTGGCTCATTGAGTTAAGCATCTGACTTCAGCTCCAGTCATGCTCTCATAGTTTGTGGGTTCAAGACCCACGTCAGGCTCTGTGCTGACCTCTCAGAGCCTGGAACCTGCTTCAGATTCTGTGTCTCCTTTCTCTGCTCCTCCCCTCAGCTCATGCTCTTATCTCTATCTCAAAAATAAAAAAAATTAAAAAACTTTTTTTAATGTTTGTTTTAAAGAAAAAAAGAATTAGATGAATGAAGACTACTTTTAAATTCTTTCTCTTAACACTTTGTTTATTTATTTATTTATTTATTTTAATGTTTATTTCTGAGACAGAGAGAGAGAGACAAAGCATGAGCAGGGGAGGAGCAGACAGAGAGGGAGACCCAGAATCCAAAGCAGGCTCCAGGTTCTCAGCTGCCAGCACAGAGCCCAATGCGGGGTTTGAACTCACAAACTGTGAGATCATGAACTGAGCAGAAGTCCAATGCTTAACCAACGGAGCCACCCAGGCGCCCCTCCCTGCCAACAATAACTTTAAAAAAAAAAAACATTTCCCGGGGCACCTAGTGGCTCAGTCCGTTAAGCAACCAACTCTTAGTTTTGGCTCAGCTCATGATCTCACATTTTGTGAGTTTTGAGCCCCACGTTGAGCTCAGCGTTGACAGTGCAGAGCCTGCTTGGAATTCTCTCCTCTATCTCAAAATAAATAAACTTAAAAAATTAAAAAAAAAAAAAACATTTCCTGAAAACACTGCAAAACAAAAAAGTACACGTGTAATATCCATTACAAAGAAAATAAAACACAATTTCAGAAATAACAAAGAAAAAAAGCATTACATCAAAAACATTAAATCAAAGTCAATATACCTACATTCAGCATTAACTTTCTATGTAACAATAAATAAGTCCCTTTAATTTTCAAGTCTGTCTGCTTACCTATAAAAGGAGGTGTTTCTATTAAATAATTTCTAAATTCACTTTCAATTTATAATTCTCAGTTAATTTATAACAGCACAAAGGACTGGCCATTTAAAGGAAATAAACTAGTATTTATTCATACATCTTATGACACAGAATCAGAAATGATCATTCATATATCAAACACCGAGGGGCAAGAGAATGACTGCCTATTCATTATGATTAAAACTATGTTCATGTGCCACACACCCATTGAAGGGACTAAAATGAAAAAGAATGATATCAACCAAGATTGGCAAGAATGTAGAGCCATAAGAACTATCAATACCATCAGTAACATGGATGAATTTCAAAAACTATGCTAACTAAACTAAGCCAAACCAAAAATACATTCTGTACATTTAAGTTCCTGAATGCACAAAACTAATATGAGATCAGTAGCTGCTTGCAGAGTTGGGTAGTGGGTGGGAATGAGGACTAGGAAAAGGTAGAAATATAAAAACTTCCTGGGATGAGGGAAATGTTCTGTAATTTGTAAAATGGGTTACAGATATTTGCATTTATCAAAACTGATCACACCAAACACAAGATATTTACTCGATGTAAATTACATTTCTATTTAAAAATAAAAAAAAAAACTTTGGGGCACCTGGGTCTCTCATTCAGTTGACCCATCTGACTTGATTTTGGCTGATCCCAGGGTTATGGGATCAAGTCCTGTGTCAGGCTCCATGCTGAACATGGAGACTGATTAAGATTTTCCCTTTCTTTCTTTCTTTCTTTTTCTTTCTTTCTCTCTCTATCTCCACCCCCCTCTGCCCCCTCCCATGCTCGTGTGCGTACTTTCTCTAAAATAAAAAAATAAAGTAAAAAAATTTCTGTGCTTATGTAAACAATCAAAGAGGTCACAGAAAATGTCAAATTATATCCAACTGAAAAGTTGTTAATTTAGATATTTTGGAAATTGCTATGACTCAAGTTTTTAAGTTTGTCAGTACACAATTCATAACAATGTCTAAATTATATATATTCATTTTAAAAAGTGAAAATCATAATAGCTTCCCTCTTAGTTTGTAACTTCTTAAAAAACACTTCTGAAGTTAAAATAATGTACTAATAAAGCAAGTGTATCCCAAAACATCAGTCAAGTTTATAAACAACATGTTGTTAGTGATTTTACTTCTAGTTACAGGACAACATTGCTAACTATCCCTACATTTATGGCAAAGGCTATACTAATGAATTATCTTTTAAGTCACTAAGAATAGGAAAAGCATAATTTAATACTATCTCCCCACACAAACCTCTCATTATACCAAAAAATAAAAATTAAAAAAAAAATTTTTTTTTGATGTTTATTTATTTTTGAGAGAGAGACAAAGCATGAGCATGAGCAGAGGAGGGACAGAGAGAGCGAGACACAAAATCTGAGGCAGGCTCCAGCCTCTGAGCTGTCAGCACAGAGCCCGATGTGGGGCTAGAACTCATGAACCATGAGATCATGACCTAAGCTGAAGTCAGACACTTAATGGACTGAGCCACCCAGGTGCCCCTACCAAGAAAACGTTTAATTCCTAATTAAGGTAAAACCATCCAATAAGCCAAATAACATTAACAGTTGAACTTTACAAAGAAAAACTGTTAGAAAATAAAAGGAAAACCTGACAAGAGTACAGAGAGATGTAACAGAAACACTAAGAGGTTTTACAGAAGATAAAAAATAAAAGAGTACCTTTTCTAAGAAAGTCTTTACCAAGTCAATAAATTTAAAAAAAACAACAAATGAGGGGTGCCTGGGCGGCTCAGCCAGTTAAGTGTCCGACTTCAGCTCAGGTCATGATCTCGCGGTTTGTGGGTTCCAGCCCTGCCTCGGGCTCTGTGCTGACAGTTTAGAGCCTGAAGCCTGCTTCAGATTCTGTGTCTCCCTCTCTCTCTGCCCCTCCCCTGCTCACGCTCTGTCTCTGTCTTTCAATAATAAATAAACGTTAAAAAAATTTTAAAAAAACACTACATGATATAGAAAATCCAAATGTAATTAATAAGCTTTAGTCTATTATACTTTATACTTTATCACCTACAAAAAAAAAAAAAAAGACGTTTTGACTTTTCTATCATCTGTGATATACAAGAATCAATCATACATCAGCTAACCCCAAACATTCATCAACAGAAAAATAGATATTGTGTAGTAGATCCATACAGTGGCATAGTACACAGCATGAACATCATAAACTACAACTACACACACAAGGTTAAGCCAAACTAATGAGCCAGACCCAAATGAACACAATCCATGTTTCTGCTTATAAAGAGTTCCAAATAGGCAAAGTTAATCCATGAGGTTAGAAGTCACATTATCATTAACTATTCTGAACACAAAGTAGAGGCAGCCATCAGGAAAGGAGAGTCACGAGGGAATATTTAGAGGCTGATGGGATTCTGTTTGTCTGTGTTGGTTACACAGATGTGTTCATGGAGATAATTCATTCATATACTTTTCTGTATGTTAAAATTTAATAGTTATAAATGAATTCAGAGTCAAAAGGAAGATTTTATAGTTTTTTTTTCAAAAACATGTGAACAGCCTCATCTAATGGAGAACAGCAACCAAAACTCAGAACTAAATACCATACTGTCATTACTACACAAGAATAAATGATCTAAGCGTACAACTTAAGAAATCAGAAAATAAAACAAGCCAAAGGAAAATAGAAATAAGTTAATACAAAGAAAAGTAGGATGAATCAGACAATCAAAAAAAGTGACTGAATAAATCTAACAGCTGATTCTTTGAAAAATAAAATATACAAACCTCTGGCAAGATAATCAAGGGAAAAAATACATAACAAATAAAAATGAAAATGAGGGGAAATACAGGTCCAAAAATAGATAATTCTTATGCTAAAATATCTTAAAGACATAAGGACAAATTCATAGGAAAACATAAATTACCAAAACTTACCCAAAAGACACAGAAAATGTACATTTAAAATGCCCCCCCCCCCCCAAAAAAAAAGGTTTGGTCCAGCCAATTTTATAGTTAAGTTCTATTAAGAATAGATCATTCCTGGGGCCCCTGGGTGGGTCAGTCGGTTGAGCACCCGACTTCAGCTCAGGTCATGATCTCATGATTCACGAGTTCGAGCCCCACGTTGGGCTCTGTACTGACGGCTCGGGACCTGGAGCCTGCTTCAGATTCTCTGTCTCCCTCTCTCTCTGCTCCTCCCCTGCTCACACTCTGTCTCTTTCTCAAAAATATTTAAAAATTTTAAAAAAAAGAATAGGCCATTCCTATACAACTTTGAAAATGTAAGTAAAATATAAGTAAAATAACAACCTAGTAACTGCTAATGAAAAAAAACTATGTGGTACTTACCAAGACATGTCTTGCCAATCTCCAGTAAGATAAAAATATGGCCATGAGATACAGTCTTTTGTAAGTAACTCATAGAATTTAAGGGTAATTTTTTATATTATACTTTTCACTTTAAGTTCTAAATTTAGAATTCCTACTTATCATGAGGTTCCACTAATGAGCAGCATCAAGCAAACTAGGTTCTACCTGTAGCTCTGGTTCTTGGCCCTCATTGCCTCTTCAACTAACCCAGTCTATTTCCCTTCTAGCCTTTAGCAATATATACTTCTCACTCCCCAGAATCTGCCAAATAAAAATTCTTAAGAATTTAAGGATGAGCTTCAGACTGCCAGTTTTAAAACACCTCCCATGGAAGTTTCTCTCTCTTCTTTCATTCCTATTTTATCACTGAGTGCCATTTTTCCAAAGACATACAACCCCATCCATGTCCTCTTGTAGTAAGTTAGTTAAGTACAAAGGCTTCTGACCTGTAAAAACTTAGCATTCAAAAAGTATTTCATCTGGTCAAGAAAACTGAGATCAACAGAATGAAATCTCCCCTGCTTATATAAAACTCAGAGAAATAACCCCAAAACATGAAGGACTTCTCCTTGGAATAGAGCCTGGAAGATATCCGAGATGAACAAAATACAAAGAAGTCTTGGAAGTAAGACAAGTCTGCTCCCAGTAGCCAGTTTTTAGGGCAGAGAGCTGTCCAATAAGCTGCTCATTCAGCTCATTTGCAAATGAAACATAAGCAAGAGAACATGGGTGCATAAGATAACTACACAATCTCAACACAAACGAGAGATCAATCCTTACATCTAAGGAAAACAGAGTTTAAATTAAAAAGGTCCAAACAAGGCGGGGAAAAAGACCTTGAAATAAGAATACTTCAGAGCCTCGAAGAAAGAAAAGCAGAATTCGTATCCAAAATTAAGAACATGAGATTAAAGAAAAGAAAGTTGTGATAAGCAACTGTGAAACAAAGCTAATGCATAAATCAGTGAAATGTAAACTAGAACTGAGGCACTCTCCCAGAAGACAGCACATAAAATAAAAAATCAGAAGTGCAGAAAAAAAAAAAAAAAGAGACATGAAAAACAGATCCAGAAACTACTATTCTGAATATAAGGGAAGCCAGATAAAACAAAGGAGAAATTATCTGAAGAAATAACAGCCAAGAATGTCCAAAGTTTAGGACAAGAGTCCTTACACTAAAAGTGCTCACTCAGCACTAAATAAGGTAAATAAAACCCCACACCTACCCTATTAGAAAACTCTGAAAAACAAAAAGAAAACCTTAAAAATTATTAACAGAAAAGAGTAAGAAATGAGACTGATATTAGATCTCTCATGTCTGTGGGCACACAAAAATAGTGGAAAAGTAACTACAAACCTCTGGGGAAAAAGCACTCTGACTTTAACATTTCCCATCAAAGCAGTTCTGAAACAGTACCAAACATGGCAGCCTTTCTCAATCAAGACTCTAAGTGCCTGGAAGATAGGTACTATGTCTTGTTCACTAATGACTACACCAGCTATAAGCTAGACAACTTCACAAATACCTGACAAGTATTCACTTCAGAGAAATTTAGAAAACCTTCTGTTACTCTCAGGTTTCTGTATAATCCTCTCTCCTCTCTATTGCCCAGTTCTATCAAAGCATTTCACAAGCCACTAAGGAAAAAAGAAGAAGAAGAAAAAAAAAAAAAAAATCAACATTCATAAAGCTGGCTAAGAATTCAAATTGCAATTTAGAATTCTATCCTACATTAACAAGCGGCAATGTATATACCAAGACAGTTGTAATAAATTTAGTGAGAATTAAGTGACATATTTTTTAAGTTATACATTTATATTCACTGAGGAGAAAGGATCTTCATTTAAAGACTATTTCACAGGTTGTCAAAACACAGGTAACTGTTTACTCTTTTTTCTTTTGTATAGTGGTATAAAAATTATTCACCAGCATAAGGACAAATCAATACAAATAAAGGTATTTATTTCTAGACTAGAACTGAGAGTTCTGAAATAAATCTTATTACATACATCATGGTCAACTGATTTTCAATAAAGGTGCTAGAGCAATTCATCAAGGAAAGAGTCTTCAGCAAATGAAACTCAAAAAACAGGATATCCATTTGCACAAGAATGAGATATCAACTTCCCACCATACATAAAAATTAACTAAAAAATAGATTAGAGACCTAAATTTAAGAGTTAAAATTATGAAGCTCTTAAAATATAGGATTAAATATTTGTGACCTAGGATGAGGCAACAGTTTCATATGTAAGATACACACACACACACACACACACACACACAAAATTAAACTATATCAAAATTAAAACCTCTTGTGTTACAAAACAGTAACATCAAGAAAGTGAAGACAACTCACAAAATGAAAGAAAATCTCTGCAAATTATCTGAAAAAGGACTTACATCCAGAACATGTAACTTACACACTTGTAACTGAACAATCAAAAGACAAACCATTTAAAACACAGGCAAAGGGGGCACCTGGGTTGAGTGTCCAACTCAGCTCAGGTCATGATCTCGCTATTTGTGAGCCTCATGTGAGGCTCAATGCTGTCAGCACAGAGCCAGCTTCAGATCTTCTGTCTCCCTCTCTCTCTGCCCCTCCCCTACCCACACGCACACATGCACTCTCTCTCAAAAATAAACATTAAAAAAAAAAGATTAGAGTTAAAAAAAATAAAACACAGGCAAAGAATTTGAACAGACGTTTCTCCAAAGAAGATATACAAGCCAATAAATACATGAAAAGATGATCATCACTAGTCATTAGGTAATTACAAACAACAACTACAATGAGATACCATTTTACATTTAGGATGACTATAATCAAAGACATTTGAATAAAAAGACTGGCATGGAGGTGGAGAAATTGGAACTCTCTTACATTGCTGGTCAGAAGAGAAAATGGTGCCAAGCAGTTTGGCAGTTCCACAAAATGCTGTTAACAAAGAGTTACTACATGACTAAGTAATCCACTCATAATCAAAAGAAATGAAAACTGGTCTGCACAACAACTTCTCCCTGAATGTTCATGGTAGGTAACATTATTATAACAGCCTCAAAATGGAAACTAATCAAATGTTTATCAACAGATGAACAGATTAACATAATATGGTATGTCCATAGAGCTGAATATTCAGCCATAAAAAGGAATGAAGTACTGACATATACTACAACATGAATAAACCCAGAAAATATATTATGCTAAGTAAAAGAAACCAGTCACAAAAAATTACTTACTGTATGATTCCATTTATATCAAATGTCCAGAATAGGCAAATGGATAATACAGAAAGTAGATAAATGGTTGCCTAGAGCTGGAGGTGGGAAAGGTAAAAGGAGTGACTGCTCAGGAATATGTTTCTTTCAGGAAGGAAGAAAGTAATCTAAAATTAGACTGTGATAATGGCTGTACAATCTTGTGAATATAATAAAGACCATTTAATCAAATACTTTAAACAGATGAATTGTACAATAAATGAGCATCTCAAATAAAGCTGCTAAAAAAACTATACACACAATGATACACTAAACACTACTCACCCAAATGTGAACCTCCCTTACCTACCAACAGGATTACAGCATTTCTCTTCTGTCTTACCTTTTAAGGGCATCTTTGAGTTCAGGCACGGAACGAATACACTGAACTGTGGCATTCATGTAACAAGTGTTACCAAGGTTTGTCAATCCACATGGCAATTCCATCTGATAAAGAAAAGGATTAATTCATTTTTATAAATGACATAGCATGTATAAAATCCCTAAAATTTACACTTTGAAGTACAATTTACCAACTCATACCAATTTATATTCCACCTTCACCCGGAAGTAACAATGTCTTATATCCCACAACAGAAATGTGTACTTGCAACATGCTGACTAATACTGTGTTTTTAACTCCCTTCTTGAAAATAATAAGAGAACAATCCTACCCGTCTTGCCCACCTTTGCAGGCTTATCATTAGAATGGGGTAACAAAGTATACATAGAAACACTTCAAAAAAAGAAAAAATAACACTATAAAAATGCTCAATGATAAAAAAATAACATTTGACAAGTTTGTGTTAACCAGTTTTTTTAAAACAATATTGCAATTTAGGATACATTGTATGTATTTTCAACAAGGAAAATTTTAAGAATTTAAACAATCCAGCATTTAAACTACTTATCGTCTTTAAGCCTGTTTTCCCATAAAATAATAGCAGTTAGCATAACACTTATTAAAGATACTATTGACTTTGCATTGAATTATCCAATTATACAAGGACTCCTCAAGCCAGTTTCAAAAATAAAACCTTTTACTACTAACAACATACATCTTAATATTAACAATTAAATCTTTAAAACATTTAGATGCTACTTTCTGAAAGGCATCCTAGTAACTGTAGCAATCAAATATATAAAACGTGGTATGTCTTACCGCAGATGCTAACTGTTCTTCAGTCATGTCTTCTACAAAGACAGTCTTAGCTGAGGGCTCCTCAGGAAGAGCATCTGCTGACCCCATCATTAGTAGAGTCATTCCCTATTTTTAAAACAAAAAAATTTAATTTCATAAAGATGCTCAAATGATGTGTACATCCAATAAAAGAAAACAGGTACAAAAAAAAAAAAAAAAACCCACATACTCTATGCTTGTATTTGCCAGAAAAGGTAAATCTACAGAGACACCAAGTAGACTAGTGGTTGCTAGGGCTAAAAAGTAGAAAGAGGGAGTGACTTTTAACACACACCCGTTTTTTCCAAGGGTGATGGAATGTTCTAAAATTAGACTGTAGTGAAAGTTATACAACTCTCATCAATATACTAAAAATTACTGAGTTATTAAAAAAAAAAAAATTTCTGAGCTGGCTGCTTCAGACCAGAGGTCACCTGCTTATCTGCAAAGGGGAGTGAAGAAACCAGAATGGTGGAACATCTGTATCTTAATTGTGGTGGTGGTTACAGGGCTCTATAAAATTAACCAAATTCAAACTGTACACTAAAATTTTACAGGTGAATTTTAATCCATATCAATCAATTATGCCTCAATGAAGCTAGGGGAAAAATAAACACTGTCATAAAGACAGGTGAGAATGGGGGCACCTGGGTGGCTCAGTTGGTTAAACGCCCAACTTCGGCTCAGGTCATGATCTCACTGTCCATAAGTTCAAACCCTGCATTCAGCTCTGTGCTGAAAGCTCAGAGCCTGGAGCCTGCTTCAGAGGCTGTGTCTCCCTCTCTCTCTGGCCCTACCCTGCTCACACTGTCTCTCTCTCTCTCTCTCAAAAATAAACATTAAGACAGGTGAGAATGTTTACAATACTGGAGTGGAGGGAATTCTTGAAATGCTCATTTAGTGGAATCATTTCTCCCCATAACAAACTAAGCACAGGTAAGATTCTTTCTGTAAATGTCTATTTCTAACTGTAACAATTATTTACATTTGAATAGAATTATTTTGAGAGCATCAAACCCTCCATTATTAAAAATCATCAAACACATAAGTTAGTTCAAAATATCCAATTTTATAATTCTACATTGTCAGCCTAAGGGAACATTTATATTCAATAATATGTAACATTCCATACAATAAGAACAATATCCCCTCAAATCTCGTAATCCTGAAATGTGAACAATGTCTTACTACAGAAGACATGAGTGCATAAGAAGAGTAGGGAGATTTTAAGAAAAAAAAAAAAAAAAAAAAAAAAAAGGAAGGCACCTGAGTGGCTCAGTCGGTTGGGCATCCGACTTCAGCTCAGGTCATGATCTCACGGTTTGTGAGTTCAAGCCCCGCGTTGGGCTCTGTGCTGACAGCTCAGAGTCTGGAGCCTCCTTCAGATCCTGTGTCTCCTTCTCTCTCTGCCCCTTCCCAACTTGTGCTGTCTCTCTAGGTCTCTCAAAAACTAAATAAATGTAAAAAAAAAAAAAAAAAAAAAAAAATTTAAAAAAAAAAAAGCCAGAAGTAGAAGTTAGAAAAAAAGAAGATGAATATTTCTACATGAGGATTAAAATTAGAAAATTAATAAGGCTGGGGCACCTAGCTGGCTCAGTCAGTGGAGCATGCAACTCTTGATCTCGGGACTGTGAGTTTGAGCCCCATGTTGGGTATATAAGTTAAAAATAAAGCCTTTAAGAAAATTAATAAAGTTGGGAATGCAAGCTTGTGCAGCCACTCTGGAAAACAGTATGGAGGTTCCTCAAAAAACTAAAAACAGAACTACCCTACGACCCAGCAACTGCATTACTAGGCATTTATCCAAGGGATACAGGTGTGCTGTATCAAAGGGACACATGCACCCCCATGTTTATAGCAGCACTATCAACAATAGCCAAAGTATGGAAAGAGCCCAAATGTCCATCGATGGATGAATGGATAAAGAAGATGTGGTGTGTGTGTGTGTGTGTGTGTGTGTGTGTGTGTGTATACACACACACACACACACACAATGGAGTATTACTCAGCAATCGGAAAGAATGAAATCTTGCCATTTGCAACTACATGGATGGAACTAGAGGGTATTATGCTAAGTGCAATTAGTCAGAGAAAGACAAAAATCATATGACTTCACTCAGATGAGGACTTTAAGAGACAAAACAGATGAACATAAGAGAAGGGAAACAAAAATAATATAAAAACAGGGAGGGGGACAAAACATAAGAGACTCATAAATATGGAGAAAAAACTGAGGGTTACTGGAGGGATTTTGGGAGGGGGGATGGGCCAAATGGGGAAGGGGCACTAAGGAATCTACTCCTGAAATCATTGTTGCACTATATGCTAACTAATTTGGATGTAAATTTAAAAAAATAAAAAATAAACTTAAATACAAAGAAAGAAAATTAATAAAGTTAACAAACTCAGTCTTCATAGTACCTATGTTGAACTCCAATAACCTTCACTCCATCACCTGTTATTTTTAACTTAAGCTTTCTGTAAGATAATGGCAAAGCAATACTAAACCATCACTAAAGAATCTTTTTCCAAAGACAACTATCCTAAGAAAACCAAATACTTAAATATACTTGCAATAATTTTAGAAATATAATAGAAAAGAAAAAAATATTTAAAAAAGTAAACCTAACAAGATATATGTACTACTTTAATTAAAAAAAAAACCTATAAAGCTTTAGAGATACAAAAAAAAAAAACAAAAACAAAAACAAAAACCATACCTAAATAATAAACTGAAGGTAATGATTGATGTAGAGAACAAAGTTAAAAAGAAATATAGAAAAAAATGAAAATTCCTTACAATTTATAGCCCACTGACAAGTACCCGAGACAGTAAGAGGAACCTTCCTCAAGGAGCTTATTAGCTGCCTCAGTGTTTATACATTGCTATAGGCAAAAGGCAACCTTAGCTTGACATTAGCCTGACCTCCAGGATCCTATAAAGAAATTCCTTTGGAATCTTCCTTTCTCTCTATCCCCCTCCCAAGCTGTATGTTAGCAATCATCTTCCAAGCGTGTAGCCCACTGATATACATCTAAAGAGTCTCATGACCAAGTTTTACTAGACAGTAGTGAAAAACCTTATCCTAACAGCCCCTTAAGGTCCTAGAAGCCTTGCTTCCAAATTCCTTAGAGACTTATACTATCCCTAAACCCCTCGCAACTTGAAAGTATGTATCTGTCACTCCTCACCATCTCAGTGCCACTCTCTCTGCCCACAGATCCTGCCCTGTGCTTTAATAAAACCACCCCTTCTGTATCAAAGACATGTAAAGAATTCTTTCATGACCTATCACTCCTGAACCCCAACACTTTCACAGCACTATCCAATTTCTAAACTGGAAACAGTACTGTAAAGATGTGATTCCAAATTATTTCTTTCTGAAACTTTACAAAAGGATTCATTCATGTAGCAAGTTTATACCCATAATAATAGCTAAGAAATTTCTAAAGAATAAAGACTAAAGAAAATAGATTATGCAATGAAGAATGTTGAGGAAAACTAAACAATAATTTAGAAAAAAAAAATAATCAGTTCTCACCTCATGGTATGCCATACCCGAAATGAATTACAAATTAAAGATGTAAAAAATGAGATAATTACACAAACATGTAAGTGAATCCAAAATATATCTTGCTTTCCTGGAAGATTTTCTAAAATTGACATAAAAGATGAAAGAACTAATGTCACTGACTGCAAAAATCTTGAAAACTTCCAAGTTTAAATTACCAGTCAAAATTTAAAAGGAAAAACTAGAAAAAAAAATTACACTATAAAAAAGCACCTAGGGGCGCCTGGGTGGCGCAGTGGGTTAAGCGTCCAACTTCAGCCAGGTCACGATCTCATGGTCCGTGAGTTCGAGCCCCGCGTCGGGCTCTGGGCTGATGGCTCAGAGCCTGGAGCCTGTTTCCGATTCTGTGTCTCCCTCTCTCTCTGCCCCTCCCCCGTTCATGCTCTGTCTCTCTCTGTCCCAAAAATAAATAAACGTTGAAAAAAAAAAATTAAAAAGAAAAAAAAAGCACCTAAAAAAAAAAATCAGTAAGGCAAACACACAATAAAAAAATTGGGCAAAAGAGATAAATGTTAAACAAGCAAAAGGCTTAAAATAAATTAATAATAAATTAAGCTAGAAAAAGCATACATTAAAACCAAAGTAGGGGCCCCTGGGTGGTTCAGTCAGTTAAGCGTCCAACTCTTGATTTTGTCTCAGATCATGATCTCACAGTTTGTGAGACGGAGCCCCACTTTGGGCTCTGTGCTGACAGCGCGGAGTCAACTTGGGGTTTTCTCTCTCTCTCTCTTTCTCTCTCTCTTTCCCTCCCTCCCTCTATCCCTCCCCTGCGCATGCTGTCTCTTTCTCAAAACAAATAAATTTAAAAAAAGTAAAAGAAGGAAATGAAGCAAAGAAGTGAAAACATTAAAATAATAAGTGAACAAGCAAAGTTGATTCTTCTGTGGGGGCGGGGGTATCAATGAAATTGACACAAACCTGTGGGTAGATAATGAAAAAAGTAAGAGAAACCACAATTTGCCAATACAAGAGAAAAAAAAGAGAGAGAAAATAGCACTACAAACCCTAGAATTAAAGGATATTAAGAGTATATTATGCCAATCAAGTCAACAATTTAAACTGTAAATTAAATGGACCAATTCCTTAACAGATACTAATTGCCAAAACTCATGTAAAAGAAAATTTACCATCTGAACAGTACCATATTTATTAAATACATTAAATCTTAACTAAAAGTCTTCCCACAAAGAAAGCTCCAAGCTTCACTGGAGAATTCTATGAAACGTGTAAAAAATCTTTCAGAAAAGAACTTCTTCAAACTAATGATGAACATCTGTAAAACAACTCCAGCCAAGACTGGAGATTTTTCTCCTAAGATTCAGGGAAAAAGCAATGATGTCTACTATCAACCACTTCTACTCAACACTGCTGAAAATCCTAACCAGTGAAATAAAGCAAAGAAAAAAAGAGAAATAAAAGGGGAAATTGAAAAGGAAAAAATAAAACCATTCTTATTTGCAACATGACTGTATACCAACCTACATTATCCTAAACCCCAATATGTAAAAATCAGCA